AGACGTGGTCGTGGTCGACATTTAAATGAAATATTTTTAACATATAATTGAAAATATACCATATATTTTTAATAACAATATTGAAAAATTAAAAAATCTAAATTCTTGCTTTTGTAATATAAAGAGCATCTAGATGCGACTTTTCAAAAATGCACACTATATGTGAGACACACTATATTCTTTTTTGCAAAATTATAAATTTATTATCTTTTAAACAACACAATACGAAACTTCGATCTGAACATACTATATATTACTATTATTAAAAATGCACTGTTCTAGCCCAAGTTCAAATTGATTATAGCTCCACACATACTAATACCAAGATTGATTTCATAAAATGAGTGTCTTCAACACCTTGCTCGTTTTGCCCAGATATTTATCAAGATAAAACCTTAAATGTCAAAATTAATTATTTTTTTTAAATAAATATTTACACACAAACATATACAAACGTAATATGTATACCTAAAGTACAGAATTGGTTTTTCTATTTTCAAGAAAAATAAAAACTAAAACAAAAATAAATTTTTTTCGTCCTTGTTTTATGACAATACTATTTTTTTTTTCATATTTTTCTTTCGTACTTTTTAACATCTGCTCCCGTTCTCATTATTATTATTGTTTGTAAATTATTATTATTATTATTCTTAAACGAAAATAACAAAAGAAAAAAGTAAAAAAAAATCACACTCCGAAGTAATTTGAAAGAGAAAATCACAAATAAATTGTGGTCTCGTCCATTCAAGTTTATCATAATAAAAACTGAGGGCTATCCCAAAATAGCAACACATAATACATAACCATTTAAATAGACCTACCTGCATACCATGAATAAAATACAAAATATTTATATTTAGATTCAAAACAAATATTTTGTACGCCATAAGATTTTTGGTAGAACCAAAAAAAAAGAATAATAATAACTCTATTCAATTTTTATTATCAAAATTTACTTTTATGTTTTTCTTTAACCTCAAACATAATTTTTTATTATTTTAGTATGAGAATAAGAATATTAATATTTAAGTTTTTGCACAATAAATAAATAAGTATGTATGTATACATATATGAATATTTTGTTCTACTTATTGATCCATAACATTTTCATTCATCAGTTACGAAGTAAACACAATAAGTTATATTTATTTTTTATTTATTTTACCAGATTAACTAAAGAAAATAAACAATAATTCCTTCATATTCGAAAATATAAGAGATAGTCCAAAACGACAAGTCAATTATATTTTTAATTGCTTGTAGCTGCGACGGCATCTTTATTGTTGTAATACCGCATTTAAACCAAATTCAGCTCAGATATAAATTGCAGAATTCAGCTTAAACAAAGATTTCTAAGCCGTGATACAACAACGTGCGCAGCTCCTTAAATTCGAAAAATTAAATAGGTTTCAAATATAAAATTAAATAACCACTTAAGTAGACCTAGATTGAATATTATAGTAATGAAATATATTAAATTATTAATTTATTGCTAAGTGCGTTAGAAAATGATGCTATGTGCAAAGTAGTACATTTTCGGGAATGAATCGTAAAGAGGAACATTCAGAACGCAACGTAATTGGCTGTATAAATGTTGTCGGCAAAATTTTTTACGAAATAATTAGTGCTCATGTAAGATTTAGGAAGAGTAATAATGCCAAACTTTTACTGATGCAGGTTTTATGTTACATCATTTTTTATTTTTATTATTTTTTAGACTTTATGCTTTATTATTTTTTATGCTTTACACCTTTTAATGCGTACTACTCTAAAGAGAATAATTCATAAAACTGAATTTAATTGAAATGATAATCTTGTTATTTTATTTTTCAAAATAATTTTTAAAGTTGGTCTTTGGTGGGTGTTATTTGATTTTTTAATTAAAATAAATTTTTAAATTAAACAATCTTTCCCTACACAAGAAATTTTTCAAAATGATTTTGGCACTTAAATTTAAACACTTACCAAAAATATTAAATTTATTTTGTTAACCATTTTGTTTATAATTTAAGACTTGCTAGATATTACGTTTTAATATTTTTTCTCATAAAATTTTTAATGTATCTTCATTTCTTTTGATCTTTTTCCTATAAAACTTTTAATTAAATTTTCAAAAAAAAAAAATTGAAATACTTACAAGTAAAGTAAATTTTTTATGAATGTTTTTAATACGTCATGTTCATTGAACAATCTAATTTAAAATTACCCAAAAAACAAACTTCTCTGCATTTTGAAAAATTCTAACAATATTATTCGCTTTTCTTCCTTATTCTCAAAATATTCTATTGTACAGTAAGTATTTTCATAGAAATCAATTAGCCGAAAGTTATGCAAAAAATTAAATATTTCAAATAATGAGGCACAAACAGCTTAATTTCTTAATAACTTTATTAATTTATTATTATTGGTAAAATGTAATAGGATTTGAAATTTATATTAAAAATTATTAAAATTATATTATTGATAATTATTTTTTTATATATTAAGAATAAAATTATAAATTAAGAAACTATAAATAGCTAGGTATAATAAGAAAATACAAAGAAATTTTGTTAAAATTTCTACATTTTACATTTTATTCCAAGAATTATTTAAACATTTATTTTTGTAAATAGATCACAATTTTGAACATTATATACTTAGATTTTGTTTTTGTATTTATTTTAACTTATTTTTTTTGGTTTTGTTGTTGATTATATGCTAATATTTTCTATTCATATAATTATATTAATTTTTTCAACATCGTGTTTAAGAGTACGAGTATGAATTTAAATTAAAATTTTGAAATATTTAAGGGAATGGTATGTAATACATATTGTTTGTGTGATCAACTTAATTTTTGAACCTTTCTAAAATTCGATGGTCAAATTATTATGATATGTACCTATAATTTGAATTTAGAAAAATACTTTAATAAAGTTAAAAATACCAATAATTTTATATTTTGAATATTTAAATTTCAAAACTTCATACAATTATAATAAAAATTCAAATAAAAGTTATAGAGCTTGTTTATACACACAACATTGTTAAATTTGAGTTTTGCTCATTTTGAAATCTTTACTGATTGTTAATTTATTAAAAGAATGTTAACGCATAAGCAATATTTTGACTTCCATAATTGAATTTGATCTCATTAACTTCCAAATTTAAAATTTAATATATTATCGTAAAAGATAAGGATTAATTTAATTCATAATGAATATTATTGAATTGCACTCAATTCTAAATCAATCAATAATAAGTTAGTATCCAAATTAAATAAAATTTTTTTAGATTTTACCTTATCCTTTTAATTAATCAATTTGATTTTTGCTATTTGGGTGAAATTTAAAAAAAAAGTACAATATACAAAATTCAATTCTATATTGAATTCATTTATGCATTGGGATTTTATTAGTAACATTTAATATGTATATAATGTATAGAAATGTATACAATAAGTATATATGTATAAAACATTCATACATTTTATAATAAAATTCAATGAAAGTAAATATTTTATTATTAGATTTACTGAAATTGTGTAAATACTAATATACGATATAGAATATAAGTTTGAATAAATAAATTATGTGAAATATATTGTACAAATTGTATGAGTATGTCTGTAAGTATTTGTAATATAATATGTACAACACTTTGATTTTCTATATTATATACATTATCGTATTATATGAGACCATGTATGACCATTTTATCGATAATAGTTTCTTTACATAAGCATATATTTTTTTTTGATTTTATAAGACCAATCAACCAAAGACCTTTTATTTGTTTATGAAGTTTATTTGGTATTATGTATATACATATGTATATATTTTTTAGAAATATCGAATTATCAATAATAATTATAGGAAAATTCAAAAAAGAAAATCAAAATTTTCATGAATATTTTTTTATTTTTTTTTTTATATTTTTATATTTAGTTTTAAATTTTTGATATTTTTCTTGTAGTTTTAAAAATTATTAGTTTAAATGAACTTTTATATGCTCATATAAATAGAATTAAATTAGTATTTTGTGAATGTGAATTCATATTTAATAATCTCTATGATAAAGACGAGATGAAATACGAGTATCTGATAAGCACGAGAAGAAATACGAGAAACAATGGCTTTAATATTTCCCATAATATCGGGTTTAATTTCAAATGCACATAACTCAATTTGAACGAACATAATAAGAAATATAAAAAATTTTATTTTTTTCTTTTATTCCATTAAAATATAAGACAACGCAGGGATTTCCCATCCATCTCCAATAATAGGTTGTTAAAACTCAATTTGCGATAGCATTTATAGAATTGATTACCTATATAAGAAAATGTTGTGATACTAGAACATGTACGGATAGTATGGTTATTAAGTTTGGTAATCGAATTACGGGAAATAAAGGGCACTTCAGATTACGGTAGGCTCGTCATCTATTTTAGACTCGTCACTTATCTAGTAAACTCAGTGACGTAAGAACATGGTTCATAGTTATCTACAATATCATGCAACAACCCTATGCTTCTACCAAAAGCGAAATAGGATAAAAAAAATTTCAATTCAACTACGAAACATCTTCTAGAAAATGGGTTCAATAATAATGTTCGGTTCAATAAATCTAATTGAACCACATATTTTCCATAAGATCTCGCAAGAAGAAAATGTACTTCGTTTCAAAAAACCTCCCATGAATTCATATTCACTTAACCGATTATTTTTAATATTCTGTTATAAATATTTAAAATAATTAATTTTAAAATTTTATATAAATTATAATTTATAATGAATTTTTGATTTGATATGATTAGTGTTTGTTCTTTTTTTTTTGCATTAATTTTATATTATTGTTTTTCTTTCTTCTTCACTTAAAATCTAAAGTAAAAATATTTTTATTTTAAAATTTTAAAATTTAATTTATATTATTGTTATATATGCATGCATTTTAGTAAATATATATATGTATAATATTATATATGTATTTAAACCATGTTATCATGTTAATTAATAAGTACATGTATACGAGTGTAATTCTTGTTTGATATGATGTTAGAATGACAATTCAATTTGCAAATTTTATCCGATTTTCCCTCTTTATATATATACATACATATTATATAAAATGAAAAGAAACTAATAAATTATTATATTAGTTCTCATTAATATTATACATGTACATTTTTATATATTTATGAGTATATGATTTTTGCATAACATTATTTGGTACTTAAATTAATATTTTATTATTCTTTTCTCTTTTGTATTATTTAGACACCACGATATTTTCGAATTAACATCGCCCATACATCTGGATAACGTGTTTGTAGGAAATTTGTTAATTTTTGCGCATTCTGAGCTTGTTGTGGTGAACAGTTTCGGCAATTACGTAATATTACTTCAGGCAATGCAGCTGCAAAAAAAAAAATTAATTTGTTTTGTTATCGTAAGAATTTTATGCTTTGTATAAATATAATTAAATGTATTAAAATTCAAATTATTCGTATAAATATATAAATATTCGTATAATGAAGTGGTTGAGTTTGATAAGGTATAACAGATACAATCAAAATAGCAAAAAAACACTTGTTCAATAACAATTTTAATTAATTGTAATTAAGATTATTTTAAAAATGCTTTACACTCAGATATTATGGAATAGGAGTGGCCAAGCTCCATAATAATTCGAGCTATTTTCAAAATTTTGAAATCTTCAAGAGCCGCAGCTAAAACTGTATTAGAAAGTTAACTCGTCCAAAATTCCAGATTATAAATTATACCCGTAGCATGAATGATACAAATTGTCTTATTCGAATCTCAATATCAACCTACTGATTGGAATTGAAGTTTATAAATTCAACCGTGGTACCCATACGAGTTAAAGATTTTGAAAGCTTTGTGATACTTCGACGCTACCTCACGAACAGACGAACAGACATCAAAATCAAAAACATGTATACTTACATATCTATTCCTTAAACTTTTATTTCTTATCGTTAGAAACGGTATGGCAATTTCATCTTTTAAAAAATAATTTTTGCAAAGAATTTCCACTAACTAACAGAAAATTTTGAGAATTTAATCTTTATCTAATTACTTTAACATGCAAAGCAGAAGGTGACATAAAAAACTATATAGTATTTACAAGAAGATGTTAAATATCAGTAATACTTAAGATATTCTTATTAAATTGTATCACTTTCCAAGTGTTCTTATCAACTTAAGCATAAGTGCACATAATACGATTTAGTAAAACTATATTTAATAACTCGAATGTTGAAAACAAATTTTGTAGTGCTAAATTAATTTTTATTAAATTTTTTATATCAAAGGCGTTTGTCTTATTCAAGTCTTTTACTCCTAAAATTTTGAACTACAATTTAAGGGAATAGAATTTTTCAGAATTAAAAATGAAATATTAAAAGGAGTGTAGGCTATTAATTAAATGAGAACACTTTCATCCTCATCCAACCAACCATATATTTCTATGACATAATTCTTCAAATATATATAGATACATATATATAGATATAGAATTCTATGGCATATTTTAGTATTGAATTTTTACAAATGAAAATTAATTAAATAAATTCTTGAGAAAAATGTTTAATAATTAATAAACTCTTTGTAGTATGAAAATAAGAAGAGAATTTTCAATTAAATCAACTTTGATATCTGAACAATAAATTTAATATTGTGTATTTGCATCACAATAATTATGTTTTCGCCTCTCTTATATTTTAAATAAAACAATATTTTGTAATTTCAAAAATTAATTGAATTTTGTGAAAAAAATTTATATAAAACTCAATTTTTCATCCTACTACAAAATATAATATTATTCTCATTTCAAAAAATTTTTTCTGTAGGGGCGAAAAAATCATTCAGTCGGGTTTCGAATAAGGTTATTTTAAAGGGCACCATCAATTAAATAAATATTCAGAAACACAATATTTTATTGAAATTCAATAAATTTATGAAATTCTTAGTTCGCTTTTATAGATACCTACAAATGATAAACCTACATGTCCTCAAATATTAACCTTTTAAATCTTTTATTTTAATTAAAAATATTAAAATTTTTTATTTTTTTCTTAAAGACTAAATCATATATATAAAAAAAATATTTGATGTGACCAACACGTAACCGACCGCATTGTTAAAATATTGTATAAGATTATAAAAATTCAAATTCAAAAGGCCCAACTTGAGATACTGATTTGCACAAACTGACACAAACAGACAGAAAGGCAGACAAATAGATAAAAAAACAAACACAGATCTCTTTAAAAAGTTTATCTACGTTTCCCTAGCATAGAAAAACACATTTCCGCTGAAAATTCGACATGTGAAATTTGATGCCATCACACAACGGTTCTTATTGTATGCAATGCCGTCGGTAATACTGATTCTCAGCTTCGGATAAAAGTATTTTGGTATTTTCTGTTTTTAAAACAATGAAATTCTTATTTAAAGATCTAACGCAATAAATAAGAGATTGAATTGACCTTAAAATGTATCACCGATTTTTGATTTTCCAAAATTTCTTATTTTTAATTCGCAATTCCGAACAGAATTTTGGATGCCCGTAAGACCTCATTACGTCTTTGGGAGTTTTCCCAAATATTCGATAATCCGCATGCCCCCCTGTTAATTAACATTTATACCACGCATGCAGTCTCAAAGTTTGTGTAAAATATTATGAATTCAACTTCGGGATGTGCACCATCCAGGAAACATTAGTCAAAAATTCGGGCTCAAATCAAGACTTAAATAAAATGAAATCGCTTTAAATTACTCCACACAAAATTCGTTGATAATTTATATTTACTGGAATTGTTTCCAAAAATTCAAAGTTCCAAATTTTCTTGGACCTGTGTAGACCAGCCCCAGATTTTAAGTCAAGCTAAAATAAAACTTGAATATTTTCTCTTCAATTGTAACACAGATTATACAACGCATTTAACAAAATAATATGAATTTGAATATGAACACAACAGCATCAACGTTAAATAAAAATGAAAACAAAAACCTTCTCGGATTAAATATTCTAAATGGGCATATCTAAATTTGTATTAACCAAAATATTCTTAATAAACAAATTAAAAATTTATTTGGATTCTTAGAAAATTTTAAAATCTAACCACAGTCATTTTCATTGAAATATGCTAAACATTCCATAGAGAGAGTGGGAGAAGGAAAACAGGAAAAGCAAAACAGCAAATTAAAAAATCTTTTAATTTACTCCGAAAATCTATTTTTCATTCATTTCCCTTAGGGTTTTCTAATTAAACAAAAAAAGAAATTTTTCCTTGCGACATATACTAGATTCCCATAACAAACGACCATAATTTCTTTTTTCCTCTTATTGTTTTGTTTAAAGGAAATTTAATCCTCATAATTTTTCAATTTTTCGGGTATTATTATTAATTATTTTTTTTTTTTTGATGATATGCTCCACCAATTATTCTTGGTAACTTTTTGTGGGGAAGAAAACAAAACGAAATAAGAAAAACAAAATGGTTTTGTATTTGTTTTTCTTTGCGCTTTAAATCTTTATTTAAAAATCACTCTAATGAGTCCTTAAAATTAATTAAAAACGATAATCATTTTTGTTTTCTCTTTAAATAAAATAAATATTAAAAATGGTGATTATAATTATTTAAAATGAAGCTTTATGCTTTAAAAATAAGTTGCGATAAAAAAATGAAACGAAAAATAGATTAACAATGCAAGAAGAATAAGAAAAATGAAAATTTTATAAGATTTTATACGCGAAAACAACTTGTGTGTTACTTAAAAAGTAATTAAGGCAAAAATTTTATTTGTTCATAAAGAAATTTTTATATTACTTGAAATATGAAGATGAATTCTCTTAAAAATTCAAGAATTTTGGAAATTTTAACAAAAGAAAATTTTATTTTTGAAATTTTAGACTTTAAACAAAATTTAAACAAAATTAAGAGTTCTGCAAACTTTTTTAATATTAATTTCAAAAACATTTTATTATTAACCTGTAACTTTTGTCCTTCAATTATCATTTTAATCTCAAGTATATTTCTCTTTCCTCCAGCTACTTCACTCTATATTTAAGAACAAACACAGGACCTATAGCATAACTTTAACTATATTTAATAATTACATTTTTTTTAATATAATATAAAAATACTTTAAAGCATTTCAAACAAAAATTTTTTATTTAAACTGAAAAAATAATAATACGAAAATAGAAAATAGATAACAATAATAATAAAAGTCCTTTCAAAAAAAGTTTTCTCTATTTTCAAAAATATCCTTTTATCTCATTTAAAATTTTTGTTAATGAGAATCTTTCAAAAGGTTTTTCAATTACACTTTATTATTAAGATTATATACAAATTTTATATTTTTAATTTTAATATAATTTTCAGATAGAAATCTAAAAATTATCCTATAATATTTTCATGTTAATTTTATTCTAGGAGTTATATAAATGAATTTAATTATGTATGTATTCTGTTACATAAAAAATTAAAATAGAGCAAATTCTCCCGGGTCATTACGAAATGTTATCCAAAGTGGCTAATCTTTAAATTATTTTTGAAGTGAATTCTTATTAAATTTATAATTATTTCTTTACTTGCATAATGATTTACTAATAAATATAATTTGTGTATAGTAGCAATTGATTCTATATTTTTATTTAATGAAACACTATCTTACAAAAACACAGGAGAGACATCTGAAGAATTGAATACGAGTATTCTTGAAAGTAGAAGCCTTTAAACTTAAAAAAATTTAGTGAAAAAAGTATTTTATGAGTATAACTTTTTTTAAATATTTATTATGCGCTTGGAAACTATTTACGAATTTAAACGAAAATTTTGAAACTATTTAAATTCGTGAAAATGCAACTTTTTGACAAGTCAAGAAAAAAATATTTCCAAATATTGTAAACAGAAGAAGATGAAAAATTATTTTTTTCTATAATAAAAAACTATAAGGAAACTATAATAGAACAACAAATTGTTAAAATGAACTCTAAATATTAACTACTGTCCCACATCAATTTTTCATTATAATTATAAATAAACGTACGTGACTCTGTCTTTAATAATAAAAAAAATTCTTGATAACCCAAATGGAAATTAGAAAAAGTTCTTACAATTTGTATAATGGCTATGAGTCAAGCAATTTGTTGCAAACAGCAGCTCCTCTAATTTTAAAATTTGTTTGAAACGCTAAGGTTATAAATAACGTTTCACTCGCACTACTAGCTTATTGTGAGTTAATAAAAAATTCAAAATTTAATAATGTTGCATTTATTTTACATTCCCATATGTGCCGGGAAAATTCTGTTTTCTGAAGTAAAATATAAAACTTTTATATTTACAACAAATACGAATAATATGAACTGTAATCAACGAAATTAAT